CTTCCTTATACTCTTCCTACAGGAACCCATCGTGCTGAAGTAGTTGAATTTGGCGGTTTTTTCAGCGCAAAATTGAATTCACCTTTTATTCTTCCCTTGCAGAAGAGATCGGCCTCTTCATCCTTCTTTTACGAGAGCTCTTCGAACCCCGTCTGCGCATGCGATACAACTTGCAACAAAATTTCGTGGAATAATAGCCATTTTTTTTTTCCTTGCAGGAGAAGTCGTTCTGCGATGGCTTCCTCCTTTTGCGCCTAAATTTTCATGTTTTTAGACATAATTGCGATTTACAGACACTTGGTCGTCAAGATGGAGCCCGAGATCTGTGGACAATTGAAGACGTCATTGGAAATTGGTGGCGCCCGAACTTTGATCCTCCGAGAGTACGAGAATAATTTTTTTTCCTGGTCCAGTTACTGAACCGCGGCATAGAACATGCCTTGTGTATTCGATTACGTTCACCAGAACTGCAGGACGGGAAAAGACAAGAGGAGGGGAAAACGGGGTTAGTGGAAGGATTAAGAGACGTAAGGGTAAAAATACTGCGAATTTGACCATGTGTAGATGCATTCAGGAACCATTTGGATTGTTTTCAAGATGCTGGTTCATTTTAATGTTGTACAGTCACATCCTTATGCATTTCAGTACCCGTATATCCCCGCACATGTGACAAAACCGAAGGAGCAAACGAAGTTATTCCTGGTACAACTTCCAGAGCGGGCACTCTTTGCTGTGCCAAAGAATTACAAGCTGGTTGCGGCACCACTGTTTGAGCTTTATGACAATTCAAACGGATACGGCAACTTGATAGCAAGCCTACCGCAAGTGCTCAGCAGGTACGCTCTGGATTTGTGGAGTCCTTAATGCCATTACTTAACGAATGACATGGATGAGATTATCTGTCCTCAGAATAGTCAACGGATTTATGTAGCACCAATACCGAATTGCAATTTTAATTCAGTTTTGTGAACTATCAGTGGTAATGCGGGGGGGGGGGCAGTCGGAGCAACGTAGTCGCTTATCGAAACGGTAAAAAAAACTAGGCCACTCAATGAGAAGTGGCATGAGATCATCGATGAATGAAGTTTTATCAGCAGACGACTAAGTGGCGAAATCCCCCTTGTGCTAGCAATAGCCACCCCCTCGCATGGAAGCTCTTTTTTTGTTGTTTTTTTTTTTTGTTTTTGTTTACAAAAAACTTTTAACAGTATCAGTTTACCATCGAAGCATTTAAAAACCGACTCGTAGAGAAATTGATTGCCCATTGGCGGAATTGTATCCTCGACTTTCTGTACGAGTACAAGCCACTGCGCTAAAACAGACTGTTTTTTCTAAAAAAATTTTTCATTAGTAATCCGCATCATTTAATGAGACTGTGTATTTTTTCAGATTCAACTTTCTGTATACGCCGTAAATGAAAAAATATTGGAAATGCTGAAATTGTTTTTTTTTTT